TGAGTTAGAGGTGAAGGAGGAGAAGAGACGATTGAGGTTTTTTTGGTATGTGCTGTTACTGTTATCATGAAATCCAAGGCACCAAACCCAACAGCCATCTTCGTTGGGTAAGCAACTCTTGGGATCCGGCTGGGCAACAGAGAGGGTAAAGAGGTATGTAGAAAACAGAAACACAGTAAAAAACTTCCTGGAAGAACTCATTTCCCCTCTTCTATATACACATGCAGTGTGGCAGCCTATAGATTCAACTGTATGCAGTGTAAAAAAACTGATGAATCTATGCACCCGGAGAAGAAAGAAAAGTTTTTCTGAAGAAGACAGGTACAACCTGACTTGCTTTTGGTCTGTCCTACATATGTGTAAAATTCCACCACCAGTAGACACCTCCCTCTCCCTATTAAATTAATTGTAGTGCCTTCAACTTTCTCCATTCGTGCTCCATGGGTTCTGACTAAAAAAGTGAGAGGAAAAAGTCAGCATTTACACTTGCAAATGGAAGTCTCTACGTCGTGGCACTGTTTTAATATCCGGCCTGGCCCGATCGGTTGGACAGGTTCAATCGGACCTGGGCTTGAAAACGGACCGGTTACTTCCTCAAACCGTTTTAGTATTTGGCCGGTTTCAACCCGGTAGGCCCGTTACACCCGTTTGGCTCGTTTGGCCCGTTGAACTCACCAAGCTGCACCCATCTCTCAAATTAACCCATTTTTTTCATTTTCAAAGTAATATACCTATTTTATTCCACCTTTTTAATATTATTACATAAAAACCTCTTAAACTAGAATTAAGATCAAATGAAAAAAACCCTAATTGAAGGTCAAAACTGAAAAAAAAAAAAAAAAGAATATATAATGCATTGGTGCTATGATGCTCAAATCAATATATATGATTATTGTGATGCTTGTTTTTACTTTTTTTTTAAAAAAAAAATATGTATTGTATTGATTTTAAATTCTTATTTATCATTTTTAAATTCTTGGAGGTTTTCTTAATAATTGAATATTTATGTAAATTATAAAAAAATGTCATCTTCTAGATAAAATTCAACTATTGTTACTACACAATCACAACAATCACAACAATCATATAGGAATATTACATGGGAGCATTGTGTTGAAGTTGAAGGCATGAAAAAAATATTACAATATTTGCATTGTCAAAACTTATCAAAGGAGGGGAAATAAATAGAATGAAACATTATCTTGTTGGAAAAGGTGAAAAAATAAAAAAAAATATTTTAATATTTGTTAGTTTAGATATTAAAAAGTATATGTATTTAATTAAATTTATTATTTTAAATGGCTTAAATGATAATTTTCAAGTTGATCTTATGATTATTATTTCTTAAGAATAAAATGAAAGTAATATACAATAATAAAATCTAATAAATATGTTAAAAATATCAAAAAAAAAAAGTTTTTTTAGTTGATCAGTTGAATTGATTGGGTGAACCAATTAAACTAGTTCACCCAAACTTGATGACCAAACCAAATCAACCACCGGACTGAATCCAAAAACATTGCGTCGTGGTGCCTGTTCTTCTGGTAGGTTTTTGCTATTAAGGATAAATGTGCAAAAGGAAAAAAATTACCTTAGAAAAAAGTTCTCAAAAATTAAGATTTGATTTTGATTGTCATTGCATTCGCACTCTTCCTTCCACAATCAACGTTCAAAGAAACAAGTGGACTGTTGTTTTTCTTACCATGAGTTAATGTGACTGCTATTGTCTATTTTGCTGATTGGATGACTATTGAGATGGAAGGACGAGAGTAGTTGCTTGGTCCAGGATGGTTTTTTTGACCGCAACAAACCAGTTGCAAAAGCCGAACTGTTTCTCTCAATGCAAGTATGAGTAATTGATAAGAAGTTTTAAGCCAAAAAACCAGTAGGGTGTTTTAGTTGAAATTGAAACCGACATTTGACTAATGTGAGAAAGAGGGATGCATGATAGTTAAATATAAATTTTGAATTTTATTTTTTATTTTTAGATTTTTTTTAAAATTCAAACTTTAAATTATGATAAAATTTATAGGGTAAAACTTTACAATAAAAATGAATAAGTTGATTTTAATGTTTATTTATAATATTTGAATAATTATTATTTTTATAAAAAAAATAATACCTATCTATCTTATCTTTAA